GTGTGTGTGTGTGTGTGTGTGTGTGTGTGTGTGTGTGTGTGTGTGTGTGTGTGTGTGTGTGTGTGTGTGTGTGTGAAAGAATGCCTCCGCTTAGTCTGAAACCATATAGATGTGTAGGTGTTCGCACAGTTACTGTATAGGAAGTATGTGTGGTTAATGTGAATGTGCAGAATTGATCTTGGCGCTCCTCGTGTGTCACTGCTCACCTTCACCCATTGGTTTGTGGGTTCATGAGTTTGCAGAAACTATGAGCTCCTTTATGTTGTCTGTTACATTTTAGAGACAGTCGAGCTAAAAATGGGTTCATTTGAAGCATTCTTTACAGACGAACACTAAAGTTTTTTAACTTTATGAAGAGTGCTGAGAAATTTAATGATTGTTACGTATTGTATTCCAATATTTTAAAATGAAAATATTAGGCAGATTCTAGCTGAAACATAAATGTAAAATTTTGAACCTTTTTTTTTAAAGCTAATGATTTTTTAGGGCATTGTTTGTAACTTGCACATCCAATCCATGACATGAAAACCAGGTAGTCTAGATATCCCACATCACCACAAGACAAAGGCGAACAATCATGTTTTTGCCTTTGTTATTGTAATATATTTCATGAAGAACTGGACACATTTAACAGAAACTTACAAAATGTACTTCTACATAACTCAAAATGGCTAACGCAGTCAATTTTGCAGATACTGAACTGAAATCTGCTGTGGAGTCTGAGCGTGACGTGATGTCTTGGACCAGGGATGGGCACAATTTTCTGTTGACACTACCAGTTAGTGCAGTGACTTAACACATTTCATAATGCAAGTAAATAGTTGTGCTCCTGTTTAATATGAATACAAATAATTTAAAACGCACACAAAATAGAACCTTTACTTCAGCAAGCTTAAGGGCAATGACATAAGAGGCCTTGAATGCAGACTCCTGCATGGTTGTGGTTCTGGCAAAAAGTCACTGTTTTTGTAATTGTAATTTCAGTAAACTTCTCATATTTACATTTGTGTTGAAGTGGCAAATTATATTAAAATTGCAGAAAGGTTCTATGAACAAACTAAACACACAGGTCTCTCTTGAAACTCTCTGAACAGATAGTCTATCTCCCAAAACAAAATAATTTAAATATCTTATTTAAATTTTAAAAAGCACTCAAAGCAGTTCTTAGAATCTAAGCACAAAAAAATAAAATAAAAGATGGGACCTCATTGGTGGATCGGACAGAAGTCACACGCTGGCCTGATGTGGTCCACAGGCCACCAGTTGCCCATCCCTGTCTTGTACCATTATATGAGATTGTGTACATTTCCAAGGTTTGACCAAAACAGCAACACCTCCATGCAGACTAATCTGTAATAAAAATAAATGTTGATGTCCTTAAATTACCGCAACAATCTAAAGATGCAAAAAATAAAAATAAATAAAAATCTCTGACTAATCTGGATGAATCGTCAACTTTCTGTTTTAATTTGCACAAAGCTGACTACTTGAAACATGCAGTATAAATAGATTTTCCGACTGAAACATGACTGTGGTTTGCAAGTGACAGGCCGTTTATATGAGGGTGAAAATGCATCCCCTCCCCCCACACCACCCCCACCCCTGCCTGAGGCTAACCTTATTACGGTTAGCAGCCCTCACGCTTTCCTCAGAGCAAACCTAGCCTCCTGCTAACCTCAGGCTTCGTCTCTGGAGCGTCAATCTGCCGCAGATAAACACCACCGGATGTTTGTACAGTTTCACAATGTGTGTGAGAAGGAGATTTATCACACCTGTTGCGTGGAGACAAATATAGGCCCGAACTTTACTGCAAAATCATGCATGACACAGTGACAATGATTAACTTCATTAAAACTTAGACAAGATTTAATACAAGTTTATAAAAAAAAACCTACAAATAGTTACACCTGATTCATTTGCATCCACTTGGAAAATGTCTCTTCTTTTCATAGTTTACAGGATATATATATATATATATATATATATATATAGCCTATATATACGTTTTTGTTTTATTATTTAGACAACATCAGGTTGTTTCTTCATTACTGTCAAACTGCAGACACCTGTAAGCTGAGCCTCCACCCGCCTGAACTGTAGCTATTATTGTTGTCAGGAAACAGATGTGAGTTCACACACTGGAAAGAAAGTCTGTTTGTGACTGTGGTCTTATGCGTCTGCACGGTATGGCTCTGTGTGTGTGTGTGTGTGTGTGTGTGTGTGTGTGTGTGTGTGTGTGTGTGTGTGTGTGTGTGTGTGTGTGTG